AAAGCGAAAGTGACGGCTCTTCTCTCCTTTACCCCTTGTCATCGTCTCTCATTAGAAAAATAATTAAAACCGTAGTGGTTAAGCAAAAGTGTTTCGACAACTTCTTCCCGATTTGCCCCGCATATGCAAAAGTTCTACCTGTGTTATCCTGACAACAGTATCTCCGATTAAAATGCAATGTTTTTGCACTTAAGACGCAAGTGCTAACTTGTTTGTTCTACTAAGGACGCGACTCATTAAGCATTGTCACTCAAAACGGAGTTAAACATCATAACAGTACATTCGTGTGCAGAGTAGAGTAAAGAATCAAGCCGCCTATTTTAGATGAGTAGGGAGGCAATTATGTGGTTGGTGATAGGGGTGCTACTCTCTCTGTCCATCTATTGTAGTAGAAGTGGTAGTGGTGAGAGTGATAACTTATTCAATTAACAAACGAGTTTCTACCGGGTCCGAAGTGAAGCTAGATATCAGGTCGACTAGAAGAGTTTAAAGGGAGAAAAGAAGATGTTGAATGCACATGCATATACTCATACGAGTGCACAGCTACACAAAAAATCCTGGACTAACAGGCACCGACTAATAGAGAAAGCATGCATTCTCACTCGCTTCTGGGATGCGTCATTTGGTCCGAGTGGCTAAAGGGCAAAATATGAACCTGGACAATGAGGCAAGCAAATGGAGCGGAGGAGTTCAATGCAAAATGCTGTAGAGTTACAAGCTCGTACAAAAATAAACAAAGCAACCTTAGACTAACGTAAATTCCTGCCCCTCACTATAGAGAAGAGTATGGGTGATTCGACCTCACCGGGGGAGGCAAAGAACAATAATTGTTCAGCTAGAAAGCAAAAAAAATGTGAATGAAGAGGAAGAAAGGAATGGGAAAGGAAGAGAAATTGGGGAATAATATGTGCTAATATAAGCTGATGCTAAGCTTTGATGCTTTGCACAGGGTGAGTTATTTCAGAACACTTTTTATGATAGGTACTACATTTTTTATCTAGTTACTTCCTTCATCTGTCTATCTGGTCGTTTGTTCCTTTATCTACCTCTCTACCCACGCAACGATTGTAAACATGATTTACACGAAGAGATGGAATAACTATGCATTTGAATTAACATGGAGCTGGCGCGCCTGCTGCGGACGCATAGGCCTCCCTTGACATGTCCATTAAAAAAGGCTGCCATCTGCGACAATAGCTGGGATGACGCGAGCAAATAAAGAAGGCCAAAAATGGAAAGCAGGAAAGATATTACCAAGGAAATTAGAGAAGAGATGGCACGTATCACCCCTAATTTGTATGAATTCTATCTGTTCCCTATGCTTTGGCCTTGCGACGTGCTTGGAGCGTAGAAGGGGAAGGTGATGAAGAATAAAAGGCCACAAATTGCTAGAATAAACCGAAGCAGGAGAGAGGTGCTGCAGGTAAGCTGAGTTGTAGGAAGAAGGACAAAACGAAGGATTGCGATGAACACCAGAAGACGTTGTGCATCAATCATGTCTCGCGGAATTGTAATTGAATTCTTCCATTTTACATTAACCAGAACGACTCAGTGAAGCACATAAACTGAAGTAAGAAGCAGGAAGTGAGAGAGGGAAGCGAATCGCGTATAGAGTAACCATTGTTTGCTAACCTTGGCGCATTTTTAAAGCAGTACTTCATTGGAGGTAGCTATCTGCTGCAGATAGATGAATTCTGAAACAGTCTTTACGGTTGATGTTGAGGCAACGCGCTTTCAGCCAGGTCCGTATCTTCACACATCACAAGAAGCTTGAATTCAGTTTACCATTGAAGCCACTTGAGACAACAATCATTGAGCAACCGCAACACCTATTTAAAGTGATTTAAATATCTCTATGTCTATACCCTTGCAATGAACACTTTCTTTGAGGGTTAGAAAGTCCGATTACAAGTGGCTGAGAAATACTGAACACTACCCGTTGATGGCAAAGTGCAGAGATGGGCGAGAGGTATAAACATCCAACAATCGATCTTGCACACCTCGCCATGGGAAATTGGACACATCATATTGGGATGAGGTGGATAGGGATTTGACTGATAGACAGTCTCGAGACAGGAGTCTTATCAGCGTGTGCTAAAACCGACCATCAGTAGACACACTTTGAGCCAAACGACTTGAGAATCAACAAGACTAGCAACATCTAATCAGGCAGGGGTAAGCAGATGAGATATGGGTAACATAGCCAACCACCGATCCATCCAGTGGATCAATCGGGCAAAATGAATGCATTAACAGTGGGGGGTTTTTTAGTGACCCTTTCTTCTTTCCACTTCCTGCTTATCGTGGACTGGAAATCCGTGAACACGCAGGAGGGCCATTTAGGTCATACTTAAGGCTACTGAAAGGAGCAGTTTCCGTTTCCCTCTAAGGCATTGGTGATTATTTGGCAGTATTCAATATACATTACACATAGCCCCTATCAGCTCTAATGAACTTTGACATAAGTAAGGAATTGTATGAGCTACACCATGACAAGTGTCTTGTAGACACTGGAAGTCGTTCTTCATTGTTGAGCGTCATTTATAGGGCTGGAATTCGTAAAAAATGGCAAAAATTTTTTCTTAGATTGTGACAGGGCAGTTGTCACTACAGATATAAGCTGAGAGAATAAAACTTACGCCTCGCATATCAAAAAGTGCTATCATAGGATGTTAGAAGTACAAGCACTGTTTGACCACCTTTCCCTAATCCTTTCCGTATCCGTCCACCCACCCACCCCTGCTCCAACAGTGGAGGACTGTGATACTAGATGTTAATCATACCCATTGAAGTTGACGACATTAACCAATGAAAGGGGCCAG